GAACCACGTAGTAATTTTACAAACCTCTAACTATTGTTGGACCAGGCAGATGGCTCCCTGTGACTCACAGTGCTTCTAGGTTAACAGAACAAAGCCCTGCACACTCCTATTCTGGCCACACAATCTTTGGGGTGCTTAAGTGACTGCTGTTCCAGTCACTGTCAATGAATGTTATTAAGGGTCTACCTCTCGTTCACTGACTCTCTATTTTCCCATGCATGTCCTTTTCCAAGGACTAGCCTCCCTCGATATCTTGCTTGATAACACACCTAAAGTATGCCAAAGAAGTTTCACCATTAACATTTCTAAGGGGCATTCTGACAGTATTTCTTTCAAGACAAATGTTTGTTGTACTGGTAATCCATGGAATTTAATATTCTTTGCCAATATCGTAACTGAATTAATTCTATAGTTTTATTTATTGTCCAGCTTTCATATGAATACAATGCAAATGAAAATATAAAAATTTGGTTAAGGTGCTTGCTGAATGCAACACATTCTTTGATTTCTTAACTGCTGCTTCCAAGGGTATTGATTGCAGATCCAAGTAAAATTAAAGGACTATTTAAGATGTGGTGGTGTGTTTTTTTAAAAAAATTTATTTAAGATCTTTTATCCATTTATCATGTTGCTTATTGGCTTTATTTTATTTATGTTGAGGTACAATCCATATTGAAGGCTACAGCACTTGATCTTCATTGAGTCAAGACCTCTTCATGTACAACAAGCAATGTTTTGTAATGTGTATATTGAAGGATGTTGATGAATCTTCCTCCAATACCACATTCATATAGTCCAGTTTCTCAGATTATCTACTCAACATACAGACCAAATAAGCATAGTCAAAGCCTGACAAATACCTTTCTTGACTTGAAATTATGCAGTATCCCCTTGTTCCTCTCAAACCAAGTACAAGGAGCATAATTAAGTGGTTTGGAGTTCCCATTCTTCTCAATGTTATGTATAATTTATTATGATTCATGCAGTCAAATACATTTGCACAGTTAATAATACACAAGTAAACACCTTTCTAGTACTTCGCTTTCAAAGATTTATTTGGCATGAGCAATGATCTTTCTCATTCCTTGGCCTCTTTTTCCCCCCTCAACAAGTATTCATGTAATAAATCCATGGTCTCTGAATCCAGCTTGAACTGCTGGCAGTTCTTTCAAAGCATTGTTCTAGCCACTTTTTAAAAAAAAAAAATCTTTAGCAGATTTATTTGGAAGTAATATTAATGATCTTGTTCAATAATCCCCGTATTTTGTTGGATCATCTTGGGTGAGCGGGCATCTTCTAAATTTCTTGGCACAGGCAAGTGAGCATGTCCAGGACTACATTTGTTTGCTAATTTATCTCAACTGATACTCCGTCAATTCCTGGAGCTTCAGCTTTTGGCAATCTACCTTTGGCACCACCTGTTTCTGATCATAAACTACTTCCTGAAATGGTTCCATGTCAACCATCCTTTCTGATACAGTAACTATGCACATCCTGTCATTTTTTGACACCTCTTGCATCAGTCAGTATTTTGTCAATAGAATACTTCCATATGAAACTCGGGGCATTTTTCTGTTCTGGTTTTCAAGTATTGGTGGTGGTGTGTTAGGTGCCACTGGGTCCAAGGATGACTCATAGTGATCCTGTGAGTAACAGAAACTTCCCCCTTTCTTCCACTGCTAATAACAAAGCTAATCATTACAATGTTAAATACTGTGTGTTGTTCAGATGACGGATTTTCCCTGTTTGTCTGCTTCATGTAAGAATGAAAAAGCCAGAATATTCAATTTTGTGACTGCTTGTAATTCTAAGAAAATTTTTCATGAAATAAAAAAAGTTAATGACTAAAATAATATACATCTATAGAAATACTCAGGATGTCTATATTGATTATTGTATTTATGTTAACCTTATAGTACTAACATAGATTGTTTTGTCCTTTTATACCTCGGTGATCAACCACATTTGTATCTGAATTACCCAAGTTACAGATAACTAAGAAAAATAAAAGCAGTTGCTATCAAGTCAGTTTGACTGCCTGCCAGTCTCTGGCTGACAGTTAGGTAGGCATCTCCTTGATGGGATCCAGTATCACACAATCACCTCTGTGATTAGTCCTGCTAGGAGCAGCTTATCAGCTGAAGCGGAGTTTCCTCAAAGACATGGCTGGTATCAACTAGCTCTACTAACATTCTGCCTAAGATTTTTGGGGTTTTGCTTGATTTGGATGCTGCATTTTATCTCCAGTTCCTTGGACCTGGTCCAATGCCTACCATATTGTTTGCTGATCTTTAATTCACTAAACAATCATGTGAATTATTTCCTTTAGATTCATTTATACACACAATACACGTTTCAATGGTTCTGTAAAAATCCAGGTTAAGGCAGTGACTTTCCATATATCAAAGCAGAACTCTGTTCCATTGTGTTTTCAGTGGCTGGCTTTTTGAAAAGCAGAATATTAGGGGTTTTTTTCCGAGGTGCCTCTAAGTGGAACTGAACTGCCAACCGTCTGCTTAACAGTTCAGTTCATTAACCATTTATGTCAACTAGAGACTGCTACAGGCATGTAAATGTAATTCAAAAGTGTCTGGTGATGAAGAGCTAGTATGAATGCA